ATGAAGGTGTTATCCAAGGCTTATCTCGGTCGTGCATTTTAACTACTTTACATGGAAGGAAGTGGTCTAAACCGGTATGAATAACATCCTGAAAAATTTCCAGTTTTTGTTCGCACGGTGCAGTATGATACCATAGATATGTATGATACAGGTTAGTCCAATTATAGTTCGTTAGCCATCTTCCAAATGCAACTTTGGCACCTCTGTTACCGGGTCTAGTTTTTATTTTCTTGCATCCTTTCAATGATTTACATTTTTTTAAAATGCATAAAACGGAATTATGGTCGCTGAGTCCGATCACCTTAGGAGGGTCACATGTGTCTGACATATTAGTAAGAATAAGATCAAGGACAGCATCTTTCCTGGTTGGTTGTTTTACGATTTGTTTCAAAGTAAAATGTCTTAATAAAGATGAGACAGGACATCTGTTAAAATCTCCGAGTAAAAATATACCTGCATTTGGGTACTTACTGAGAGCGAGGTCAAGTGTTGAGCTGAGGTGATCTATAAACGCGGCGTTGTCGCTGGATGGAGGTTTATAGGCCACACAGACGATCAAACACGAGAAGCCTCGATTAAGTTTATAAGGTCGTACATAGATCCATAAGGTTTCAAAATTGATGTCATTAAATTCTGTTAGAATTTTGAACGGGATGTCTGATTTAATAAAAGCACAAACTCCACCGCCAAGTTTATCAATTCGATCACATCTTGCTATTGAATACCCGCGAATACAAACTGCTGCATCGTCGATTTTCTCATTTAACCATGTTTCGGTTATGAAGGCCATACTCACATCATATTGGTCAAGTATAATTTTTAATTCATCCACCTTTGGTAAAAGTGATCTTGTATTTGAGAGAAGGAATGTCAGTAAATTACTTTGGGCGCACTTTGGGCTTTGATATAGAGACGTGCTTTGATATAGGGATGGATTCTTGATTGGAATTTCAATTAGATTACGCGTTCCGCTACGGTTTCGTTTGCTAGTATTAGGAATATGTTCATTATAACACGAAGCGCTGGACTGCTGACCTTCGAATTCATGGTAAGATGTAATTCTTACTGGTATAGTTTAGAGGCCTTTATCACAGAATACTACACAGAAGTCCATCTCCACTGCTTTTTGCGTAAGCTCTATTCGTCATGATTCGTCACTCAGCAAGTACCGTAAACAGAAGCAGTCACCCCCTGGACGTGCGCCATTTTTAGTATTTCCAGGGGGGACTGCTTCTGTTTACGGTACTTGCTGAGTGACGAATCATGATGAATAGAGCTCACGCAAAAAGTCTAACTATCTAATATAACTGTATACGATTTCGTAATTAACAAGACAAAGAACTCAAAACCCAATATCTCAAATCACGAAAACGAGGCTCTATATTACTATAGCCAAGGCCATACTTTCCAGACGGGTGTACTGATTGCAATCGGTGTCCAAATTATACTTTTCATGAGTTCTAAGAAACTTGATGCGGGATTAATCCCACCTTGTTTTAGGATAGTGTACTTTATTAAGCTTTCGTAGGTAGGAATGCAACTATACCTGAAAAATAGAAAAATAATTTCGACGTTTCGAGCGAAGGCCCTTAGGCTAGTAGCTCCAGTTGAAGGGCCTTCGCTTTTTCAGGTAGTTGTATTCCTACCAACGAAAGCTTGTTCATATTATTGCCACTACCTACACTGGCACAGACACTTCAAGATATCTCAATTCAACCCGGACAAAGCTTGTTCATATTATTGCCACTACTTACACTGGCACAGACGGTTCAAGATTACCTTATTAAGCGCCGTTGTCACGCCGTTCTTCAAGTCTTGTGGATGAAGTTCCTAAAATCAAATATTTTACCCTTATTAATCATTTTTAATTAGTAACCAGAGGTAGAGAACTTTTGTGTGCCTGGGACCACAAAACAAAGAAGTATCAGACCCATCCTCGGTCCCAGGGCCTCATGGCTAGGATGTATCAGAGCGTGGTATTGGAGTAAGTACGTGAATTATCGCACCTGGTGCACTAAACTAGATTTAATCGTTGCTTTACCTTCTTCGCAAACGTATCTTCAACATCCTGGTAAGTTTTAAATGTAATATTTCCACCGTTTTCCTCCCTGCGATGAATGACAAAATCTAAACAAAGATACGTGTAACTTGTTACCGCCATGTTACGCGAGGTAACTCACAACTTTTGCTGCAATCCTTACCTTTTCCACCTTGCAATTCCAAAATTGGGAAAATAACAAACTTTGCAAACGAAAGAATACCATTCTCTGTAATATTTCCTTCCTCGCAGAATGCCTGGATATAATAGAATCAGACATAATTATAGTCGGATCTGGAAAAAAGTTGGATCTCGTGGCGTCTTGAGGAGTAATGGCAAGAAGATTGAGGAACATTTTAAATTTTGCACACAAACGTTATGGAAGAGTCTTAAGGAATCATTAAATCATACTTCCATATTGTCATTTGAAACATGTAACATAAATACAGTCCACTTTACTTTGTTTTTGCATACACACACACACTTCGCCAGATAGTCTTAACAGTTATGACAAAGTAATAATTATACTAAACTAAATAGACTATAAGGCAGGGTACTCACAACCGCAACACCATATTGCCATTGGCATGATGTACAGTCAATTTTCCATTGTTTTTACGCAATTTCATTAGCATACCTTGGCAACTTTCTTTTTAACTGCAGAAGCGCTATCCAGTAGATCTATTTTCGAATCCTGTAAAGGAATTAAGTTGTGGATTGTTAAGCCTCAGTAAAACGAGGATGAGATTTGACAAGAGGCATTGAGAGTTGCCAAACTCTCGCTTGACCACTGACCCTAAGGGGGTTCTTTTATAGGGTTAACCTTCCGATCCTCCTGCAAGGACCTACCTCCTGTATATAGCTCGTAGGTATCTTGATTAAACATTTTGATTGATTGATTGATTGATTGATTGATTGATTGATTGATTGATCGATTGATTGATTGATTGATTGACTCTCATCAACTTTGAGGTGGTTCAAATTTTGATGAGAGTTGATGAGATCTTTGGCTATGTGTGCGGCAATATCTAGTCAACTCTTGTTTCTGTTTGACCAGGGCATGAGTTGAGAACACTCTCATGCAAACTCTCGCTTCTCAACTCTCATCCAACTAGGACTTCATTCAATACAGAAGGTCAAAAGGACAGTGAACACACATAGAAATACAACTTGACCAGAACTTGACAATACAAACCTCATCAGATGCGCTCATTTTTGTTCCAGTGAGACCAGGAACTAGTAACATGATCAAACAGTAACATAAGAACACTGGGGTAACATGACTCCCATTACTGGCCAAAATTCTCCAATGTAGAGCAATGAAGTTCAAATTTCTTACCCATTGGATTCATGAGATGTATCCTCTTTTTATAACCAAGCATTGGTAGATACTAAATATGTTCAATAGTACAAGATCATTAGAGAGCAAAACTGAGACATATACGCAAGGCTATACAGTTTATTCTAGTCCCAGGGCAATACAGTATTTGAAGAGGCATACAGTGCTGTGAGTCTCAAGCAGTTTTGCAGTCTCACCTTTTCAGCAAATGTAAAAATTTTCCTCTGATCCAGTCCCCCAAACTGTGCATCCACATGCAAATATTCTTCATCAATGGCCTGTCAGGAAAGAATCATAATCATAAACCAATTCATAGTCTTGACAGCGCATTCGATTGATGGGGTGATATGGTCTTTTCAGGGGGGGAGGGCAGAACATTATCAATAAAGGTGTTGTTGAAAGTATCACTGATCATGCAAATTTGAGTATGTACTGGTTGATGCTGACTTTTCCTTGGGGCAGGGTGAGGGGAGGGGGTCAAATGAAATACTGTGAGTGGGTAGGGTGGGGTGAGGTGGACATGGGTGGGATGGTGGTGGGGTGGGATGTTTTTGGGGT